GGGTGAGGTTGTGCTGGAGAATAATTCTGTGAGGTATAGCTCACCTCCACAGTGTCATGTTAAATTGCCGCTTACTATGGAGTATGATAAATTGGTTTCGTTGTTATGTAAAAAAATGAGTGTGAGGAAGCGTTCAGTTAACCTTAAAGTAACCGGTAGGTTTCCGTATTCAGTGACTCCGCAGGGGTTTGCTTATTATTCTGAGTTTAACATCGAGGATGATGAAACTCTTAGAGATTTTTTGCAGATTCCGGATGAATACAGGGAATTTATTGTAATAAAATTATTGGAAATGTACGTCAAAATAAAATTATTGAAAATGTACATCAAAAGAGCTTGCCTTGATTTAAACTTGTCACCACCGGCGAATGAGCAACCACAAAATAATTTTTCGACTTTATATAATCCACAAGACGACTGGTAAACTTCAATTTTACTACGCTTTAGCGATGTTTATTTTATGTTTTAATTGGATTTGTATTAACACTTATATTTTTCATGGGGGTACCGTCCGGATATGAATTTTACAAGTTATGACCCCGTCCCTAGTTGGAATATGCGTAGTTCTGGAGTATTGGAGCACGGTGGTCCATCCGGGAGTCATCACCAACAAGAACATATCCATCATGAAACGTCAAGACAGTACGACTTGTAAGTAAAGTGATATAGCTATATCAAAAGTTTTTATGTAGTTGAGTAACTTATCATTTTGTTCTTTTTGTGCAGTGAAAACGAGCTTCTTGATGTTCCTGACCTCACACGAATGAATTTTCATAAAATTGAAACGCCTTTAAATAAGGCAAGTCCGAGCTCGGGGTGCAATTTTTTTTTAAGGAATTCGCAGTACAATACTACGTTTTATGTGTTTGAATTATTGTTATGTCAGTTAATTGGTGGGGCCAAATTAATAAATTCGCAGTATTGTATTGCGGATTAGTTAAAAAAAAATTTAATAATTCGCAGTACTGTACTGCGAATTAGTTAAATTTTTTTTTTTTTTTAATAATTCGCAGTACTGTACTGCGAATTACTTTAGTGGCTAAATTTCCGTTAAGGTAATTCGCAGTATAGTACTGCGAATTAGGTAATTATGTAACTTTTTTTTTTAATAGTAAAAACTTATTTTTTGTCCAAAAAATCATTAAAAAAGTTTCGGACTCCGAGTTCTTCGCATGCACTAATCACTCATAGATCATAGTCACAAGACTCGCAACTTAAAATAATATGAGCTTTTCAATTAGCATCAAATATGAGTAACTTCAATCCGAGCTACGACTATTTATGGATTTTATGACGCATTGACGGTTCGAGTTTTAAAAATAGAGATTTTTTTGATAAAAAGTACTATTATTTTTTTAATATGTTTGTTCGATATAAGAGGAAAGAGTAATACCAAGTAGTGAGAATATAACCTTTGCTTGTTGGACAAGTAGTAATCTGAACATTGTTTTGAACAAAACAATTCAACAATAACATACCAGGTATTATCCCATGCTGTGGGGTATGGGGAGGGTAGTGTGTACGCATATCTTATCCCTACCTTGTTAGGATAGAGGGGTTGTTTCCAGTAGACCCTCGGCTCAGGAAAGCATAAGTACCACATTAATGAAAATATAGACACGAAAGGACAGTATCAAAAAGCCATCTAAAAGCAGAATAAAAACAACAAGATAGTAAGGTGATCAACAATGAAAGGAAACATCGGTTAGTCATAAAAATCTACTACCAACAAAAAAAGAGACTGCGTACCAATACTACTGTTATGAACACTCTAAACTACCTACTCTACTACCCGAATCCTCGACCTCCATATCTTCCTATCAAGGGTCATGTCCTCGGTCAGCTGAAGCTGCGCCATGTCTTGCCTAATCACCTCTCCCCACCTCTTCTTTGTCCTACCTCTCTGTAGGCCCTCCAATGTCAACCTCTCGCACCTCCTCACCGGAGCGTCTGTGCTCCTCCTCCTTACATGACCAAACCACCTAAGTCGTGTTTCCCGCATCTTGTCCTAAATAGGCCCACACCCACCTTATCGTGAATAACCTCATTTCTAATCCTATCTAACCTGGTGTGCCCGCACATCCATCTCAACATCTTCATCTCTGCTACCTTCATCTTCTGGACATAAGCGAGCTTGACTGGCCAACATTCAGCCTCATACAACATCGTTGGTCTGACCACCACTCTGTAGAACTTATCATTAAGTTACGGTGGCACCTTCTTGTCACACAAAATACCGGACGCGAGTCTCCATTCATCCATCCCGCCCCAATATGATGTGTGACATCTTCATCAATCTCCCAATCCCCTTGAATAATAGACCCAAGGTACTTAAAACTACCTCTCCTAGGGATGACCTGTGAGTCCAGCCTCACCTCCCCTTCCCCTCCTCGAGACTCGCCACTGAACTTACACTCCAAGTATATTGTCTTGGTCCTGCTCAACTTGAAACCTTTAGATTTCAAGGTCTGCCTCCATACCTCTAATTGCGCGTTCACACCGTCTCCCGTCTTGTCAATCAATACAGTATCATCTGCAAATAACATACACCACGGCACCTCCCTTTGGATGTGGCGCGTCAGTACGTCCATTGTCAGAGCAAACAAAAAAGGGTTGAGTGCCGACTCCTAATGCAACCCCATCATAGCCGGAAAATGGTTTGAGTCCCCCTCCCTCCCCCACCATCCTCACTCGGGTCTTTCCTCCATCATACATATCCTTAATCAACCTAACATAGGCAACAGATACACCTTCAGCCTCCAAACATCTCCACAAAATCTCACTCGAAACTTTATCGTACCCTTTTCTAAGTCGATGAACACCATATGCAAGTCATTCTTTCTCTCCCTATACTGCTCCAACAATACCCTAACAAGGTGGATAGCTTCTGTTGTCAAACGCCCCGGCATAAACCCAAACTGGTTCTCGAAAATAAACACACTCCTCCTCAACCTTAGCTCTACCACTCTCTCCCAGACTTTCATAGTATGGCTAAGCAGCTTGATACCCCGATAGCTATTGCAATTTTGGATATCACCCTTGTTCTTGTATACACAAACCATCGTGCTCCACCTCCACTCTTCGGGCATCTTCTTCGTTCTAAAAATGACATTAAATAACCTAGTGAGCCACTCCAAGCCTGCCTTGCCCGCACTCTTCCAAAACTCCATCGGGATTTCATCCGGCCCGGCCGCTTTGTCCCTGCTCATCTTACGCATAGCACCCTCAACTTCATCAACTCTAATCCGCCTACAATACCCAAAGTCACAACGACTCCCTGAGAGTTCCAAATCACCCAGTACAATGCTCATGTCCCCCTCCTCGTTCAAGAGACTATGAAAGTAGGTATGCCATCTCCGACAAATAAGACCCTCATCCAACAAAACTCTACCTTCTTCATCTTTGATGCACTTCACTTGGTCCAAGTCACGCGCCTTCCTTTCTCGCGCTTTGGCTAACCTGAACAACCTCTTATCCCCACCTCGGCCCTCGAGTTCCTCATACAAACACCTAAAAGCTGTAGTTTTGGCCGACGTAACTGCCAGTTTCGCCTCTTTCTTAGCCAACTTATAATGCTCCATATTCGCCATCTTCTCATCCTCGTTTACACTTTTCACTAGCTTCAGATATGCTGCTTTCTTGGTTCACTTTTCCTTGCACCTCTCCATTCCACCATCAGAATATTACATGCCTTACACCATGTCACACCTCCTTTTTTACACGCCTACCCCGAAGGATAGTGTATAAGGGAGTTTTTCCATTTAAAGTGACATTATTCGAAATGGGATTATTTATTTGATTTAGAGTCGCCACTTGGGAAAGGATTGGCTTTTGGTGTCCCAAGTCACCGGTTTAACTTAAATCCCAAATCGAGGAAAATTGTCGACTTCCCAATTGGAGTCTGCGAACCAGAAATTCTGAATAAGGAATTCTGTTGACCCGAGGGAAGGTGTTAGGCACCCCCGGATCCCGTGGTTCTAGCACGGTCGCTTAAATTATTATAAATGGCTAAAAAATCTGATTTGTATACATACTCAAACCTATAGTGCAATTTTTTAAGATTATTTACCGCTTTTAGTTTATTTTATTTTTATGAAAGTGAACGCCGTTTAAGAGCGTGTTTTTGGATTACGTCACATGAAATGCACCCGGATCCTCAACACCTCCTACTCAACATTTTAGGATTTGGATTTGGGTTGCATGAAATGCACACCCGAGTCTAGGAAGGTAAATTATTAAAAGCGCGCCTAAACGGCTAGCGTCTTATTAACTTTGCTGGAAGCCAAGAAAATTCGCTAAGTGGCACAACCCGAGTTCTGAATATTTTAAAA